CCAAACCAGCAGCATCCAGGGCAGCAGCTTAGCATAGCCCTCTGCATGACGGTGAGGTGCAAATCTGACTGTGCTAAAAAAAGCCCTCCCGACAGCTGGATGAGCTTAACCACACGCCGAGCCACCCGGAGCCGCTGCAAAGGCAGTGGGCTGCAAAACAGGAGCAGAGCCCGCCCCAGGGGGCACAGGGGCACCCCAGCAGCCCACCTGCCTGTCCCTCCTGCTCCCATCCTGACCCCGATGGCAGTCCCTTTCCACCATACACAAACTGACAAGCAACACACTTCTCTTTGCTTTTGGTTTATTATAAACAACCTGCCTTTATTATTCGGTACATATAGGTACATTATATGTATATCAAAAATAACTAGAGGAAACCACAGTGCACTTAAAGCTATTTGAGAAGGTCCACCTGAAAGCAAGCACCCCAGGAGGGGGTAGAGTGACCCCTTGGGGGGAGCCCAGCCCTGAAGAGAGATGGCATTAAAATGAGAATAAAAAGGGGGACACTCTGCTGGGATTAAAATGTGTCATTTGCTCTGGACGTGGAAGGAGCAGAAAGCCAGATTAAATCCCTGGAGCAGCCCAGAGGAGAGCAGAGGGTGAGCTGAGAGCACACACCCGGGCTGGGAGAGCCCCTCCTGGGTTCGAGCTGCTGTGTGTGCTTGAAATCGCTCACCCATGGCTATTTTGGGTATGGGGTGTTTTCTTCTCCGAAAGCTGCTCTGCCATCCCCAGGCACCAGCTGATGAACCACTGGGGAATGTGGGGTGCCTGCAGACAAGTTCAACCCTCAGACACCATGATTGTCTGCCTAGAGCTAAGAAGCACCATTTTCTTCCCCACCCCACATCCCCGCTCGCAAGGTCCCTGGTGCCACTGCCTACGCTCCCCCGTGCACTGCACACAGCTACGGGCACACGTGGGGTGAGCACGGGAGAAACACACAGGGGTGCCAGCCAGGAGGTCCCCAGGGCAGGGCTAAGCCCAGGTGTGGGGACAGGATTTGGCGCAGAGCAGTGCTGCATGGCTGCAGGCATCCCGGGAAGCGGGGCTGAGCGCCTGGAACCTACGGACACACGACAGCCAAGGGAAAGCGGCATCGGCCCCGAAGGGATCTGAGGGGCAAAGCTCAGCGATGCGCTGGCCTGGTGGCTCCGCAGCACGCATCTCAGCTGCCCCAGGAACCCGGTTCAGAGCCCTTTGTTGAAGTAGATGGTCTCCAGCTGTGGGTCTTTCTCCCGGATCCGAGCTTGAACTTCAGGCTCCAGGTGGCTCACGGGCATCGAGCTACCAAGGGGACACGGATGCAGAGGATGGAGAGGGGATACTCACCGGTGGCCTCAAGTTGGGAAACCACCTGCTACCACCCCTTCCCCATCTGCACCCCGTGGGGACAACGTCCCCACAGCCCAGCACAGACCGTTGGGTCTGCGCCACTGCGTGTGCACAGGGACGTGTGTGCGCAGACAGTTTCAAGCCTCTGACTGCTCAAAGAAACCAAAGTATCTCTTGGGAGTCAGAGAGCACAAGGAGCCCATGCACCCCCCGCCTGCACACCCTGCCCTGCCCCATGGGAGCCGCACATGTGTGCAAGATGCCCATCCTTACCTTTTCTGAGGGAAGAGCGCGCAGCACAGTGGGGTTGCGAACACCAAGCTGCAAGGGAAAGACATGGAGAGGAGAAGCTGGGCTGCATAAATCACCCACTCCCACCCGTGGCCTGACCCCAGAGCACCAAGGAAGCAGCCCAGAGCTGTGCCGGGTGCTCAGCCGGGAGATGAGCCGGTAAGGAGATGCCCTCTCCAAGCTCAAGACCCTGCATGTGGCTCCTGAAGTGGGGCAAAGCCTGTCCCTATCAGTGTGGGGCAGCAGCAATGCTGAGCAAGAGCCCATGGCAGGCTTGAGAGACGTCGAGATGGAGCAAAACAGCTCCCAGCCCCAAGACCTCATACTCCATCCCACCTGCCTAGGGGACACCAGCCTAGCCGAGCGCTGGCATCCCCCCAGAGGAGCTCTGGGATGGCTCCTGCCCCCCCTGCCAAGCAGAGTCCCCAGCAGCACTGCCCCCATACCCAGGCTCGGTCTGTGCCCAGGGTGACAATGCTCGTCGGCGGAGGATGACTTACCAGAGTCCCACCAGGCCGACCTGCAGAGGAGCGTTCAGGTACGGGTACCGCTGCAGGGGACAGGGAGAGGCTGCACGTCAGTGGGGCAGGTGGGGTGGGAAGGTGTCTGTTCCCCAATGGGGTGCCAGCCCCGAGGGGTGCCAGCACTGTGACAAGCTAGGGGGGTGTCCCTCTGCCCACCCTCCCCTCCCCGGACCAGCAGTACCTTCAGGAAAGCTCTCTTCTCCAGGGCGTTCATGATCACCGGCGGGATGGCTGGGGCAGAGGGGAAGGAGATGAGCTCCCAGTGCTCACAGCTCCCTGCCAGCCGTCAGACCCTGTCCCACGCTGCCAGGGACTGGCTGCAGCCCCCAGACCCAAGTGGAGGAGAGGACACTCACCCATGGCCGGGGCTGCCATGCCGATGCGGGACACCACCACCTGGAAAATGGCCTTCTGCGCTGCAGCTGTGGACTCGCCCAGACGGTTCCCGTTCTCGTCTGTGACGGGGATCCCCAGCTTGAGCTCTCTGCAGGGAGAGAAGGGGTGAGGGGGGCCCCAGGGCACACGGGGGGGCGGATCAAGGGACAAGGCAGGGACACCGCACAGGGGCACATCTCCAAAGGAGGTTGGTGTCCTCCTGTATTCCCCATACACTGCCTGCGTAATAGGTCAGGGGGGTCTCAGCTGGACCCACATTCACACTTGGGTGGGTCCTCAGCAGGGCTGGAGGGAGATGGGGAGTTCACAGCTGGCTTAACCGATAACCTGTTGGGATGCAACCAGGTGCTTGTACCCTCAATCCAACCCCAAAGTGTAAGGGATGCCAGCAGGACCAGGAAGGAAGTCCCCTGCAAGCCCAAGGCATTGCTCCCCCCATCCCCCACCAGTGCCTGGTGAACCCCAACATGAGCCCAAGCACCCCACCCCAGCCCAGGGGCTCACCTCTGCCTCATCAGTGGGATGTTGATGCAGTTGGCAGCAGCCACGGCTGCGAAAGGCACGTACCGGCCGATGATGGCTGGCAAGTGCTAGAGGGGTAAGCAGGGAGCGTGTCACGCAGAGGGTCTGGGCAGAGCTGGCCGTCCCCGCGTCTGCCACCATCTTCCTGCAAGACCCTGGGGTGTCCCAGCCCCACTGGGGAAAATCGTTCCCTCCTCCCCTGCAACTCCCAGCCCATGAAAGCTGCACGGCCCAGGGGATCCGGGGGGTCCCACGTCCCCTCCCAGCCTTGGAGGTAGGCTGACGCGTGAAAGAAGCCTGGAGAGATCCAGCTGGGGATGGAGTGGGGTGGAGGGACAGGCCACCTCTGGAGCCATTGCTGGGGAGAGGGGCTACCTTGTGTGGGTGTCCCCAGGAAACCCCTTCCCTCCATTTTCTCCCCTGCCCCAGGTGATGGGGTGAATACCCTGCTCAGCTCAGAGCTCAGGGAGACCCCATCATGAGCGTCCAGGTGCCCCAGCCAGTGATGGCCAAGGGCCACCTTACCTTGGTGAGAGATTTGAGCCCCAGCGCTGTGACAACTGCCCCTGTGGTCGCGCTCACATAGGCTGTCCCCAACTGGCTGCAATAGAAGGAGGTGACACCAATAATCCAGGGTCCCCCATATCTCACCACCCCCACAAAGGAAGGGACAGCATGACCTTCAATAGCAGCAGGACACCTGGGATCCTCTCCCAGCTCTACCACCAGCCCTGGCAGCCCCACTGGTGTCCATCTCTGGCTGCACCAGGTCCTCATCATCCCGTTTCATGACTCCCAGTATTCAAGAAGCTGTTCAAGGCACACCCCACACACACACCCCTGAGGATCTGGTCAGAGGGATGCTTACGTGGGGGTGATGGGTGCATCCCCGCTGCGGTTGGTGTAGTTGACAATGGCGTTGAAGGACTGGTTGACCCACTGCCAGAACAGCACGGCCGGCGTGGTCCTACCAGAGAGAGGAGGGTGCTGGTGGCACCAGGGGAGGCCACACGTGCTCTTACAGCAGGGGCGCGCTGCGGGGTATGGGATGCGTACCCTCCTCGCTCAGGGCCAGGAGGGTGCCCAGGCAGGGGAGAACCCCCTCAGGCACCCTCCTGGTCCTGGGGTGAGGAGGGGACAGTTACCTGTAGAAGGTCAACATGCAACCAGTGATGGTCATGTTCATGGGGACCTGGGCGGACATGCGTCCCACGAGGAGCATCTTCTCGCCCGTGTCAGGATGGAAAGCCGAGTCATAA